TACTAGGGGGGCCTTCGAAAAGTTTGAACCGGGAGCCCCTTGATATAACGTTACGCCACTGACTGAAAACAACCAATAGCAGCAATTATTAATAAATATATGTTTAAGAAACCTTGAACTGTACAGCATCATGCACTTACCTTTTTAATTGCAAAATAAGAATGTTGAAGATTATTAACACAAAGATATGTTGAACCAAATGTTCCTTTTCCGAGAAAATGTATTTTCGCCCATTCATGACCTTTTCTGAAACATCCATTTGACACAGACAATTTAGCCTAAAAATTTAAAACAATATTTATGTCTCAGCTAGGTAGCTCTATCAGTTCTAATCTGTTCTCCCTTATCCAGCAAGCCTGACCACCTATATTGATGCAATGAAACTACAGATGAAGAGACTTACACTAAGCTAACAAAATTAAAATATAATCCAGCATTTACCTGATCAAGGGGTATCAGTTCCTCAACACGCACCAAACTCTCTTGATCTTCATTTCCCCGCCCTTTTTTAGCAAACAACTGAAAAGGTTCTTCTACATTAGGCGAAGTCGGAGAATAGGTACAATTTCTGACATAATTGTGTATTGTTAATGCTTGTAACTTGGCTTGTAGCTCGTCACTTTCGAGAATTTGCCTATGAACAAATGAAGATCAGGTGAATTGAAGTATCAACTCTCCGACAGTCAGACGTGTACAGGAGATACAACTAAATGAAAAATGAACAAACCTAGCCTGTAGTTGCTCATCTGTGATTGTTGGATATTTTGGTAAGAGTTCCCGATATTTTTGGAGCTCCTCTCTCAAATGTATACACCTGTTCTTGCAGCCACCAATGTGACGATAACGACACTCAAGCAAGTGATGTAGCTCATCGCGAAGTTGTACACAAGGTGACTGTTTGCAGTTTATCCATTCCTGCGTGCCAACATTTTGTTTGCAACGCAGTGCAGTACGCCATTTATTGAACAACGGGTTGTCCTGTTGTCTTCTAGATGTTGGCGTAGCTAGATGATCTGACTAGAAAATTAATAATACTATAATCATATTTTTACCACCATTCTGATTCACCTGAAGAAGTTTGTACATGTTTAAAAGCAAGAGCAGAAAAATCCCATATTTAATTTAAACATCCCACTATGCCTGCACCAAAGTAATTAACACTTCAATACTTACAACAGATCTTAAAAGCTGTCCTTGGGCATGACTGTTCCACGACAAAGGCCAATCAAATCCCTAACAAAAATCATATGCAAACACATGTACTTCAAATTTTATGTTTATATAAACCCTCTGAGTACCAGAGCGCGTTCTCCCTTTGATGATCTGCAAATCATTTGGCATCAGACAGGGTAAAATTATAATAATTAGTGCTGGGCACATTAGGATGCAATATTGCAACTTAACCCACTGAGCTGCAATGTGCCCTATCTTTTTTACTGGTCTAACGCCAGACAATTTTACTCGTCAATGGGGAACCTTTGCAGCTTAATTAACCAAAAAATCTGACAATGTCACTAGTCAACCCATTGAGCCGCAAGGCGCCCCAGTGCGCCCTACTTTTTTTACTTGTCTAATGCCAGACAATTTCACTCGTCAATGGGGAACTCTGCAGCTTAATAATGGGTTAATTAATGAGTATTACATAAAATTAGCTACATGCAGGGAATTACTAAAATTTAACAGAAAAGCTTGATTAGATCTGAACTGTTCTTTGTTAACTAAAGGGGGGGGGGGGATTGGGATTTACAGTATGGCGGTATTAGCTTATTTTTCTTACAGTATTTCGGTATTTCCCTTGAAAAATTGCGGTATTACGATATTGGAAATCTTGCGGTACGCAGTATTTGCAATTTTGGACTCAAAAACAGCGGTTATTGACAAAATTTGCTTGACGTATTACAGTATTAAATACCCCCCCCCCCCCCAATGCCCCCCTCCTAGATGAGAAACAGGTATCAAAGATGAAACGTACCGTCACCGATCCCGAAGAAGAATGTGTTGTGGGGGATGGTGTAACAGCAGGGCTTTGTTCAAATATTCCTGCCATTCTCCAGACAAAACAGTCTCATATTAAACACTAGAACAAAAATAAATATGAATAAATCACTATTAGAATATAATTTATTAAAAACAACTAAGTTGGACAGTCTATTTAATTTAACCCAGCAAGGCTAGTTAACACTTTCCCCCTGGTGCAGGGGTGTAATATACAGAGGACGAAAAGTATGAAGAGCATATTCTGATTGAGTCATATTATTTTGTATAACTCGACATCTGTCGAATGACAGTGCTTAGTGCCAAAATTTCTGTTTATACACAATTATACTTTCACTTCAGAAATTTTGATATTTTTACTAACAAACTCATAACGTACTCAGTACTATTCTAAAATCGATTAAATATATCAGAAGCAAAAACAAATATAAATACGTCGTCTGTAAAACGTCAAAATATGCTAAGCACCTGTGGAATCAATCCGTAGGCACACATTTGAAATATTTTTATCAATTCGCAGACACGATATGGGAAATATTTGTAGCTCTTTATATATTGGCAATGTATATTGTACATAAGTATCAAATTTCGCTTTGTAAGCTTCTAATGTTCAATAATTGTTACTTATTTATGATCTTTCTTGCTATAAACAACCACTTGTTTGCTAAAGTTTGCTACTTTAACCCGTCTTCAAATATTCATTAAAAATCTGATAATTCTATCAACTTACCGGCGATAAAATCCATAAAATAGTACAATAGGTTAAACTTTACCCATCCATAGTGACTCTAACTAAAAAGAATATAAAATTTGGGTAATATTTCGAACTAAATTAGCTCGATAAAATTTGAACGACGCTTGTAAATAAAAATTAAAAATCATATGAGGACGAGACGAAGAAACGGGAAGTGCCCTGGCTTGTCAGTTTCCCCGAATTTTGGGGTATTTCCCGCGAGATACAGCAACCCAGGCAAACGTTTTTGTCAAAGCAGTTTATAATAGTTCCTTTATTCCTTTCTGTGTTTGGTATATTATACATGACGAAAAAGAAATAAAAAACTAAATGGTGAATCGTTGTAATTTTTATTAAATTTTATTTGAAACTAAAACTCTTCAAACAGCTTACAGAGTATTAAAATCAGACTTACAAAAGCTAATTAAGATTACCGATTAAGTTACAGATTCATTTAGTTTCATTTACAATTTCGGTTACACAATTTAAATAATTTTAGTTACTTCCCTAAAAGTAATTGTTACAATTAAACTTTACATTCCTACCGAAGCCATTAACTACAAATTAATTAATAATTACTTTATTTCATAAATTAATCAATTATTAGTTGTAATTAATAATCTAAATCATTAGTAGTAATTAATATTGAAGAAGAAGTGATTAACAACATTTTACGTTAATTACATTCAGGGAAGCTTTTAACAAATAGACTGACTGTATAAGTCATTATGTTACGTATGAACAAGACAGATCACCACGATCTGGTAATTAACTTTTCATTAAATTGCTAAAAAATTAAGGTCAGTTTTGTACGTCGAATTTCGGTCGCATAATGAAGCTTAATGAGGTTCATCATGTCGTTATCTATTGTCTTAATTGCATTCGACGAGACCAAAATTCGAGCAGCGGATGGTGGTCAACCAGCATTTATCAGAATGAGAAAATAACTTTTCATTTTGCGAAGATCGAGTGCAATTTGGAAAAAAAATATGCACGAGTGAGTTTTGCAAAGACTTTCAAAATTGCACAAGTCCGAAAGACGAGTGCAATTTCAGTGAAGTCTTTGAAAAACTCAAGAGTGTATGTTTTTTCAAATTGCACGAGAAACCATACTATTATTTATTAATAATATACATGAAAAACTTATGCAGTCACGTGCGTAAGTCACATTTAGAAATTAAGAAATTAAGAAAATTTAAGAAATTTGAAAAATAAAAATTAAGAAAATGAAAAAAAAAAATTTAATTAAGAAATTTGCACTGTATTTCATTTTTTGGCACTGTATTTCGAAAAAATCGTACTGCTCTTAGTCAATCAGAATTGGGAAATTTTTTTATGTATATTATTAGGATGCAAATAAATAGAATTGAGTGATGCAGTCTTGGTATTCATCAGCATTTCTGAAATTGACCATAATCTGTTGCGCTGTAACGCTTACTGAAACCGCCCATAAGGCATCATTTTAATCAAAGCATTTTCATTTAATTTTTGCTGCTGCAAGGGTTAAGATAATCATAAGGATATTTACGCAGAAGATTTCGATGTATCACGGTGATAGCAGCGTCTTTTAAATCCTTCAAAAACCTTAAACAAAAGAAAATATTCGTTATTTGTACTGGATTGCTCTACCAGTTCTGAACTATTCTTCCAAGATCCAAGAAGTCTCTTAATGATCCAGTGTTACTACAGGAGGAAACCTAAACAAAACCAACTTTACTTTATACTGGATACCTCTCAGTACAAGTTCTAAACTGTTCTTCCTAGAGGTCCAGTAAGGATCATCTCTTATTGATCCAGTGTTACTACAGCAGGAAACCTAAACTAACTTTATTTATACTGGATAGCTCTACCAGTTCTAAACTGTTCTCCCTAGAGGTCCAGTAAGGATCATCTCTTATTGATCCAGTGTTACTACAGCAGGAAACCTAAACTAACTTTATTTATACTGGATAGTTCTATCAATTCTGAACTGTTCTTCCTAGAGGTCCAGTAAAGATAATCTCTTATTGATCCAGTGCTATTATAGAAGAAAACCTAAACTAAACAAACTTTATTTATGCTCGATAGCAACCCAACATCGTTCATACTTACAATTCACCAGATTTCAATGCAATTGGATCATACTGGAATTTGGAATTAAAGTCCGCCAGTCCGTTGGTCTTGCGATCCGTCATCAGTTTGGCATAAATTACGGACTGCAAGCATAGATCTTTAGTCGGAAGATGTCGTAACACGTCGTGCTTATCTCGCCAACGCTGGATAACAAACAAAGAAATAAACAAACTAACAAAAAGATGAGTCCGTCAAGATGAACAATGAGATTGATGCATCTCTGGACAGATGATGCATCTCTGGGTATAAGCCCGGCTTTGGACATTAGAACAAACACACATACCGTATCGCAAGGTGGTTCGCCAACAAGTAACGTGGGGTAGTTAGGAGAATATCCATATTCATCATACTGGGGCAAGTTCACTGCCGCATGGCCAGCGGTACACATAAATATAATTGATGTCAGGGTTTTAACCAGCTCATCAAATGATTCAAATTTTCCTTCACCCGGGATTCCCTAGAAAGATAAGAAAGTTTGACTCTATCAAACACAGTTTCCTCTTGTAGTAACTTAGTGGAACTCTAGGAAAAACAGTTTAGAACTGATAGAGCTATCCAGTATAAATTAAGTCAGTTTAGTTTAGGTTTCCCCGTGTAGTAAGACTGGATCAATAAGAGATGATCCTTACTGGAACTCTAGGAAGAACAGTTTGGAACTGATAGAACTATCCAGTATAAATAAAGTTAGTTTAGTTTAGGTTTCCTCCTGTAGTAACACTGGATCAATAAGAGATGATCCTTACTGGACCTCTAGAAGGAACAGTTTAGAACTGATAGAGCTATCCAGTATAAAGAACATGAACTTCGTTTAGATAGGGATAGAAAGAATAAGCATAGTCACCTTTATGTTACATCCAAGTAGTGGATCTGTCTCTACCAGATCGTTGGCCCATGCTTGCATTTCAAAATCTTCCGTTAAATAAATAACGTCATTAACTGTGGACATAATAAATAAGACTTTACTACTTTTGCAAAAGCAAAAAAACGTACTGTTACAATAAAGACACTTTCTGAATTTTCCTGAGTGCAAACGAAACTGAGGGAGCAAATGACCACACTATAAACAAAATGACATCGTCAACCTTAAACAGTTACATGTTTCGTGTCCAGTGAAGCAAATTCGGAAATGTCTATAAAACTCACAGTAATTTTTTTCGACGATTCTACGGACGTGATTCTCAATAGCAGTGTGCATGAGTAAGCCATCGTCTCTGTACGGGTAATCTGGTAGAATCTTTGGATCTAGCAACTGAGAATAATACATTTGAAACGAAACGTTAAGGAAACAGAAGTAACCAGACACATGTACAGTATATATTGATTAGATAGCAACTGAGCTGTGGAACCAAATTATAATGTATCACTACTTTCATTCTTCAACAAGAAAAAGTCAAGATTTAAGATGACAAAAGTACGTCGTTTTCGAAAATAATCGCGCTATAAGGTAGACCAGATTGAGGAAAAATAACTCTGCTTGAAAACCCTGCCGTTACTGTTACTTGCGGGGGTCAAACTGGAAGCATTCTTCTCCCATGAGACTGAAGAGAAATTGCAGATTTACAAGTACATAACTGCATGCATATTGTAGAAATTTAGTCCCAGAGATGAAAGACACGTGTAGCAACCACTGTGTCACCCCCACATCATGCAAAACATATCCACGAACTTACGCCTCTATCTTTCAAGTCTTGTGGTAGACAGCCTTGGTGATCTAGTCGCCATGACGGCCACATTTCTTGAAATACACTGATAATTCCAGAAACTCCCAGATTTGTTGCGTTGTCTAACCAACCATCATAGGCAATCAATTGATTCGTTTCAAAACTGAAAGAGAAAATGGCACTTTTGAGTTGACAGCAAAATACGAGATTCTTGTGGTATGGTATGGTATGGTGATATGGTATGATATGATATGATATGGTATGGTATGGTATGGTATGGTATGGTATGGTATGGTGTGGTATGGTATGGTATGGTACGGTATGGTATGGGATATGGTATGGTATATGATATGGTATATGATATGGTATGGTATGGTATGGTATGGTATGGTATGGTGTGGTGTGGTATGGTATGGTATAGTATAGTATG